TTCTGTTGAATGGGAGGCTGCGTGTAACCTCCGTGTTAAAGCACATGCATGTTGTTCGTTATGTTGTGTTGCAGTTTTACATCATTTATTCTAGATTAGACAGAAAGTGCCTGAAGCTAAGTGTGAGCAGCAGGGGGCAGAAACACAGAAGAAGAAACTGATAATGTCAGTTTAGTGACAGCAAGACGAAGCCAACCTTTATTATCAGTGACATGTCGTATATTATATCTTCAGACACAATAACATATTTGTTATAGTTACTGGATGTGACAGTGAAGATCTGGAGATACGTTTGTTATTTTTAACAGTATTCACGACTGTTTGTTTTGTTTGTCTATTGTGTCTCTGATTAGTGTTTCTATTTTAACATATAAAACAACGAGCACTCATAGCGACCATGTTAACTCCAGTAAATGTGTTTTATGAGGATCTTGTGAGAGTGAGCTTACCTGTCCCATGAAGGAGTGCTTTCCCAGCATTGAGCTCAGCTGGTGGGTGTCCATGTTGAAGGTCCTGTAGCTCCCAGAGAACACGGCCCTGAAGTCCTGCAGCCTGAAGACACACACGGCAGATTCTGGACCCGAGGACCTGAACCAGACCAGAGATATAAACCATGTTACTGAGATCTCTCATCTCCAAACGTGGTTAACGGTGGTTACTACTCCACCAGGAAGGGTTCTTCAGCAGGATCACTACTGAAGAACTCATGGGCTTTGGTAGAAGGGCGACGCACTGGGCCAAAGAAGAAGCCGTTCAAATGTTGGAGTGCATCTGAATCATGGAGTGGATAAACTCATTATTCTCCACTTTAGTTACCACTGTGAGACCTTCTAGTCTAGTACTCTGGGCTCTAGTGCTCTGGGCTCTAGTGCTCCGGGCTCTAGTGCTCCGGGCTCTAGTGCTCCGGGCTCTAGTGCTCCGGGCTCTAGTGCTCCGGGCTCTGTTTAAAGTGTTGGGTCTGAAGTGCATTGAGGGCGCGTCCAGCTCCACTGTAGCTGGTTACATGGTGCAGAATCAGGGTGCAAAGTAAGACTCAACGGCTGCACCTGAACCCGGAGCATTCCCTTTTAAAACAACGCTTCAATAAAACGTCTCTGTGAAGTGTGCCGGCATGTCTTTTCACGGACACCTTCGTGAGTAGAAGTTGAGGTACATCGGAGGTTTCGTCCTCGTACCACTGAGACGTGAAGACGCCGTAGAATAGCGTGTCCGAGGCGTTGCTGCCCTCTGGTGGCCGGAGGGTGAACACGTCCTGGAGGAGGTTGAAGGGAAGCTGTTTGGGCAGCTGACAGAGCAGAGGGGCTTTAGCAAAAGACGTCCACTTGTTCTGCAGAGTCCTCTGTCCACCGACGTCGTCCTGAGGACATAAAGACAGAGGTCAGGGGTCATGATGAGGCTCACAGAATCTCTTCTTAACACATGTTTATAGACTGGCTTCTATGTGATGTCGTCGCTTTACCGTTTTATTTCATTTTTGTCATTTGACTAAATATAATTTTATTTATTTCTCAGTTTATTTGAATCGTATGAACTGTCTCACTGATCTTTCTGTTGTTATTATTGTTTTTGCTGCTTTGTCTGTAAAAGCACTTAGTAAACTCTGTTTTTAAAGGTGCCGTATGAATAAAGTTATTATGGTTATTATGGTTATTATGATTATTACATCATCACCTTGCAGACTTGGGCCACTCTGGGGATCCTCAGCTCGTCCACGAAGCTGAACTCTTTCCCCACTTCACTAAAGAAGAAGTAGATCTTCCTCTCCGACGGGTCGGACGACGAGCCGACAAACGTTGGCTCTGAAATACAGGAAGTGGAGACACGAGGTCAGAATGTGGAGAAAGAGATGTGAGAGAAACACGAATCATATCTGAGTTATGATCACAGAATCAACAGCAGCTCGAGTAACGAGACGTTCATCAGTGAAGAAACAAACAGTGAAACACGGATGGAGTCAGAAGCTCCTTGAGACGTTCAGACGCAGTTCTTTATTATCATTTAGAGACAGAAAGAGGAAATGAACCATTGGGTCATAAAACAGGAAGTCGGTCTGACGCTGGTTTGGTTGAAAGTTTGTGAGGTTTTTGTAAATGTCTTTGAGGTTTTTAAGATGTTTAAACATCAGCGTTTTCATTTCTATGTCAACAGCAGACGACACAAAAACTTCAATTGACCAGAGGAGCTTCAAGAGTTTTACACTTTAAAGACATGCAGTGCTGCTGTATTTGTATACTAGTTAAAGTACTTCACCATCTTTTATTCAACACTTCTGTCGTCTTCCTCTTCATGACTCACTGTTTACTTCAGCTTATTCAGAAACACTGAAGGATTCTGGGTAAGTGATTTAAAGTAAACACCTCTTTCTCCTCACTCACCCTCCAGCAGACCGACGGACGAGTCCTGGCTGACGTCTTGGCGGCCATCTTTGCTGAAGTGTCGAGAAATCTGCGGTTTGACTCCTCTGAAGTCGGTGGTGGTGGCGGTGAACAGCTCGCCGTCTGCACCGAACACACAGCAGCGTTAAAAACGTGACTCACAAGCTCACACAGGTCAGCAGCACGAGGACATTTATGTTTGAGTGAAACATCGTTCTGACCGACGCTGATGGCCGAGCTCTTCTGCACCGGACTGTGAGGGCAGCGACCTTTAGCTTTAGCATTAGCATCGTCACGGAGCTCCATCGAGAAGCTTTCTGCATCCTGAAGGAGACCAAACCACAAAACACCACGTTTAAGAGAAGATCTCCACTACAAGTCAGAGGACTACAAGTCAGAGAACTACAAGACAGAACTACAATACAGAGAACTACAATACAGAGAACTACAAGTCAGAAAACTGCAATACAGAGAACTACAAGTCAGAAAATTGCAATACATAGAACTACAAGTCAGAGTATTACAAGTCAGATAACTACAAGTCAGAGAACTACAATACATAGAACTACAAGATAGAACTACAAGTCAGAGAACTACAATACATAGAACTACAAGTCAGAAAACTACAATACATAGAACTACAAGTCAGAGGACTACAAGTCAGAGGACTACAAGWCAGAGAACTACAAGTCAGAGTACTACAAGTCAGATAACTACAAGTTAGAGAACTACAAGTTAGAGAACTACAAGTCAGAGTACCCACAAGTCAGAGTACCCACAAGTCAGAGTACTACAGGTCAGAGAACTACAAGTCAGAGAACTACAAGTCAGATAACTACAAGTYAGAKAACTACAAGTCAGATAACTCAGAGAACTACAAGTCAGAGTACTACAAGTCAGAGGACTACAAGTCAGAGAAGTCAGAGTACCCACAAGTCAGAGTACCCACAAGTCAGAGTACTACAGGTCAGAGAACTACAGGTCAGAGAACTACAAGTCAGAGAACTACAAGTCAGATAACTCAGAGAACTACAAGTCAGAGTACTACAAGTCAGAGTACCCACAAGTCAGAGTACTACAAGTCAGAGTACTACAAGTCAGAGTACTACAAGTCAGAGTACTGTGTTCAATATTCAGGAAAAACACAAAGTATTTTTGGCTAAATGTAAGAATCAAATTAAAAGTACTTGCTTTACTTGTGTGACTGATGTATTATTAGTGCTGGGCAACGAAAAAATATTTAATCGCGATTAATCGCATGGATTTTTTGTGATTAATCGTGATTAATCTCATTGTTATGGCAAAGTTCAATAATGAATTCAAAAGTAGTGTATTGTGCACTTTTATCTTGAAAGTACTGCTATATGAACAAAAGTGCAACAACATTTGGTTTGCAAACACTTTAAACAAATAAGGTTATTTTTAACAGCAGTATTCCCTTTACACAGCAGCAGTTATAACACAGTTATAATGATTCTGATCATAAATATTCAGCCGGTGTTCACAACTTTATCTTCATGTGTGTAAGAGATGATATTTAAATATACACCTTGAAAACTGCAAACCTACCTACGTCATGTTTTTATGTTTGTTAAATTCTCAGTAGCAATAACTAAATGATGCTTATTATACATATTACAAACAAAACACTTTAAAAACTGGACAATATGTATTTTAACATTGTCGCTGTTGTAAATTGTTTGATTGCATGATTTACTTTTATTGTGAAGAGCATGAAAACGGAAGTGCTTTTACTTTGAAGAGACAGGAAGTAGAATGGTACGTGTTCTTGACGCTAACAATGTTGATACGTAGAAAACCACATGTCGGGTGCAAGAGCGCGTTCTGTTCACTGTAACACTGTAACACTGCAGTTCAGACAGTAAAGAAGCTCCACTTCACAAC